ATTTACTAAAGAGGGGAACTACGTAAGTGAAGTTGATTTCGCTAGGCTGTTATTAAGGTTTAATTTCAAAGATCAAAAGTGTGGAAAATTAAAGTCATATTCAGAGACACTCATGCCTGTCTAAAGTTTTCCCATGTAAATGATTAATTTTGCTAAATCATTTAAAGTATTTAAGTTCTCCAATGACTTTTTTAACATCCCAATAACTTTAACGTTCTTTAGAAAGAACCAATTAAATTGTTATCAGGTCCATTAGAAGATAAAATCAACGAGATAAGTGCTCATCTAATGATCATTATAGAACATTATGAAACTTGTTTAGATAACTGCAACAGAGCTGCCTGAATGATAAGATAACTCCCAGATCGAGAACGATCTTTAAGATTTTTATATGAAACCAAATGAATTGAAAATTATTTCGAATCACTTGATGGTTATTATAAGTAAATTAATACTCAAAATCCTACAATATCGACAAACACAGACTTTTAAATTCCCAGTTCCGAAATCAATTGATCAACTGATAGAAAAGAGTCACATGTAAGTCACACACAAATCTGAAAATAGGGCAACAATTTGTCCGATTGCGCTCAATCTTGATTGTCGTTGTAGTTGTGGATGTTCAATGATGTTCACAATCACGATCGCGATCACGAGTTTCTTTCTTATTTGATTTTATGGCCAGACCGCCGATCTTCGGAATGACAAAATAAATTTGTTTATTGCTGTCGCTGTTTTCGCTGTCGGTTATTGTTATTGTTATTGCTATTATTATTATTATTATTGTTATTGCCATCGCTATGTACTGGCATTACTTATTATAATTGCAATTGAAGCGAGTGAACAAACACGAATTCGAATTGTATGTGCGGTTCCAGTTGGAATTGCAATTGGAATCGACTTGGAATCGAGTTCGAATTCCGGGCTCCGAGCAGAACAGAACCGAACCGGCGACGTAGCCCGACTGAATCTGACTTTCGACCGTCGTCGCCATCGAACCGCATCGGAAAAAGTTCGGGAAGTCGGGAAATCGGAAAATGTCAAGCCAACGTCAACAAAACGATGGGGCGGCAAAGGGTTTTGAGGGGGCCAAAAGAAATTAGAATGGAGAACCGAAAACGGATGCTCGTCCAAAAAAAATAATACCCAAAATAACACTTAACAAGAAGTTACAAACAATATTCAAAGCTATAAAGGATTAAAAGAACTAGGATATATATAAGAAACTATAAGCGAAAGCTTGTAAAAAATTAATAAGATTCAAAAATGAGCTTTGTTCTACAGAGTTTTATTCTGCATTAATAATGCAGAATAACTATGATTAACTATGAAATTAAATTTTTTGAAATTTGTAGAACTCATTGCTACTATATGGCTTTTTTTATTGATGTGGAAGAAATAAATTACTTCTCATATCTTATCAATTTTCTAAACATATCATTTTAAGCACTTGCTATCGGACGACTGTTATTAAATGGTATTAACTGAAATGCTATAAAGTGATAAACAAATAAATTAAAGTTATTATTTTTAGTCTTTTTTGCTTTATTCTTCTATCAGTACATTTTGCAAAATAAACGAAAATTAAAAATATTTTATTAAGTAACCGACAAACTTATAAATAATTAGGAAAATAATTAAATTGAATAAAATGCAACAAAGAGGTGTAATTATTGTTTTTGCTGAGTGGAGCCGAGAAAATGTGCTGCACATTTGTTGCCATTGACGTTGTTAACGATTTTCAAATAGCACGCGGCAATTGACACCCCTTAACCCCCCAAGCCCCAAACTCACAACCCCTTTTTTCAGTGTCGTCATTAGCAACGTTGCCGGCAAAAAAAATTGTTATTTCTGTTGTTTGTTTGACTTTCGCCTCGTTCGGTTTTCGTTTTGGTTTTTTGTTGGCCCCAAACGCTCTATCAGTTGGAACTTCTGCACATTCTGATAAGAATTACACTCGGCCCCATACACCCCCCCCTGGCCATATTTTTTTTTTACTTCTTTTAGGTAGTACACGTTAATTTATCGCAATCGTTTCTGGAAATCGGTCAGTTAATGCCTAGGGGCTGACCACATGGCTCATTACCAAATGCCGAAATTGGGGGCACCAGTGGGTTAAAATGGGGAGGGGCCTTCGATAAGGTTTTTTTGGGGGACTATGATCAGAATTTACGTTTTCCGTTTGAAAGTTCGAATGGCAAGGTCAGTTTTCTCTTGAGTTTTAATTGCAATTTAATAGGATACAAATTTAAGAACTCTACAAGTTATTTATTTTATTTATGTCATTAAAAACGGTATATATTCTTTAACTACCAAAAAATCAAATATCCCATATGAAACGTAATAAATATATTAATAATGTGTATTCTGTACTCAATAATAATGTTCAAGATCAGAGTTTATTCTTGATTCCTTCAATACTTTAGGAGAGCATTGTCCAATCTTTCCAGATGATGAAACCTCTTCGACCTCTTTTTATTCGATATTCATTCGCAATCATTTGCCTATTTTTCCTCACCTTCACCAAAAAAAAAACCGCCATCCTTTTCAGATCCAACCGAGTGTGACATTTGATTGGATTTCTGCGTATACTTAATTTTTTTTTCGATTTTCCTATAAAAATTCAATATATATAGACAGATATATATATGAAAGCTCTGCGCAGCAGATATAAAATATGTGCACACAGCCACATGTATCTGCTATATCATCATTATAGATATAATTTCCACATATCGATGATATACGCGCTACACGTTTGTTTTTGCTGTTTCTATGAACTAAATGCGTCAATTAAATATAAAGAGCAATAATAAATAAAATATACAAAGCGGCGTGAGAGATACAGATCGCAAGATGCCAGTCTCTCTATAGGAATTATAAATAAATTATGATTTTCAATGACACTATAAATCGAAATACTTGCAGGTGCATACGGAAGGCGAATACAAAATAAATAAATGAAAATCGTTGCGTTAACAGATTTACAACGTAAGAAAAACCCAATACCCAGAAAATAGTTTTGATCCTCAATCCACCGATCTCTACCCACGGCATCTATATAATCCCTATATATGCATTTGAATTCCCATTTTGCGTATCTTTAATTTATTTGCAATTTGGTTTTCGGATTTTTACGAGCTTCTTTAATGACATTTTGCTGATTTTAGATGGTCAGGGGTGTCTCTTTATATAGAGGGTGCCGGGGGATCAGCTGTCTAGCTTGTTACGTGCCTCATTAAGAATTTTCGGTTTTTAATTGACAGAACAACAAAATCCGCACAGAAATAAGACATAAAAATCAGAATTTGATTTCGTTTATTATAAATTTCCAATGTTTTTTGACTGCTCATTAAATTAGACTTTTCGCCACAATAAATATGCCAGGGTCAAGCATTAGAAAATATATTTTTCTGAAGAAAATTTAATGGACGAATTCTTGCCAGAATTGTGATTTAGTTTGTAAAAGATTATAATATGTATTTTGGACAAATATTTCTTTAAATTTAAGAAATATTTTAAAAGCTTTCCCTACCAACTACACTTTTTAAAAGAGGGAAATTAGTTAGTTTCTAATTTCGTTCAAGTAGGAAAAATTAGGCGCATATTTTTAGGCTGAACTATTTAAAACCATCTTTCAATTTAAAAAAAAAATTCAACACGAAAAGAAAAGCCTTCAACTATGTATATTAAATATATATAAAATATATAATGTGCAATAAGCTCAAAAAAAAAATGAAGTATTAATAGTTAATTAAGGAGAACAAAATAAAAATAATGTTATAAAACCGAATCAAGTTCTAAGGTCCTAAAAATTACTTTATCGCCTTCAAATTTTCAAATAAAATATTATATTTGCTACCTTTTCTATATTTCTTTAATTTTATTTTCTGTTCGATCTCTGCCAATTTAATTTAATTTATTTGTTTTTTACTTTTTCATTAACCCATTCGTCGCGACTTGTTCAAATAATTTTGTTGTCATGTTCGCGTATTTATTAGCACCACTCCGTCAAGTGGATCGTGGGTATATATACCTCTCTTTCTTCCCACCTACTCCCTCTCGTTCTACCACTGGTTTTTTATTTTTTTCTTTAATTTATTAATGGTTAAACATAAAGTAACCAAATAAAGCACACCAAAACTGGGCTTAAAGGCATTGTCCGAACTCAGATTTAAAACACTTTTAACTCCTGGAGCTTTTTATTAAATGGGAATCATTACACCATAAATTAAAGAAATGAAAACAATAGGGCTTTGGTGAAGAATTTTAAAAAATTTTAATTGTTTTTTTTTAATGTTGTAATTTTTTAAAATAAACTGTATCATTGGGTACTCAAATTTTGTTTTACTGTTTTAAAATTTGTTTTCCTTACAATGCCATAAAAGTTAAAGAAGCAACAGGGCTTAAAAAATGCGGTTTATGTTCTGGTGAAAAAAACTTTTTTTTATTTTTGATTGATATATTTGGTACAACTAAAAAATGGTATTGCCTTCGTAATACAGATTTTTTTATTTGTTACTTTTAAACGTTAGGCTTTTACAATTGTACGGGCGTGTGTTTATGTATTTTATACATTTTGTACTTTATATATTTTTACCTATATTATAAGAACTGTTTCATGTTTTTTTTTAAATTTGTTTTTTTTTGTTAAGAACACTTGCAAAAAAAAGGTAAAATAGCGGCATTTGCGTGCGAGCGAGACGGCGCGTTGCCGCGCGTGTTTACCGTTAGACCGTGTGCCGCTTTTACCGTTATTGCCACGATTATTCAAATTCAGCCGCGTTTTGCCAAACGATTCGTCCTGGTCGACGACATGCGTGCAAATAAACGAGAAAATGTCGAGCAACGCGCTGCAAACCAGAATATTTCGACTCGTTTTTGGTCGCCCCCTCATTCCTCCATTTTCACTCATCCCCCCCCTCGCCAAAAACAAAATCCCCAATTCCACTCGAACTTTTCTCCGAGTGGAGAGCCATACATATAGAATTCTCTCTCTCTTTCGAGTTTAGACTCAAATCGCATATCGCATTTTATTGAGTGACAGCATTGCTCTTGCGCGAATCGGTCTCCTCGAAGAAAAGCTCCAGAAGACTCTTCTTCAGCAACTGATCCCCATCGAGTCTCTCCACGCCCTTCCAGTGGATCAGGGCTGGGATGCCGTCCACCGAGTAGGGGGGCTTGCGGAACGCATTGTCCTTGCCCATCCAGAACTCCCGGTTGCCCACGTCCACCACCAGGATCAGACAGTCCGCCGGTGCGTGCGAGCGAAAGGCACTCATTATCGTATCCTCGGCTGGAAAATAGTGGAGAAATTGGAATTACTAACGGGTCTTATCAGGAGTGGTTAGACATATTCAGGGGTATAAGCTTAAATTGGATAAAAAAATGTGTTGAAGTTTTTTTTTTGAGGGGTAACTCAGCTGGAACATAGAGGAGTACCGGGGATTACCCGTTAACCATATAGTGTAGATATATTTATTATATATCCTTATCATACCCTAGGAAACAGGATTTTTGTAAGGTTTTTAAGGGATTACATTTTCAATTTTATTTTATTTTTAAGAAACTATAAAGTATAATCGTTATTTAAAAAAAATTGGTTCGTAAGCAGATAAAACCCAGCAATTATTGAAAGACTTCAAACAAAAATTAGTACCATTAGTATCCTAGTGCCGAAATAATGCAAATGCAACGTCAGCTACGAATCACACAGGTCGTATACATAATATTGCTTTAATATAATACTTTGAACGGAATATCAAAATGTCATAAAAATTAAACATAAATTATTTCAAAAGAAGGGTCCAAAAGTGTAAGATATTTCGGCACAAGAAACTATAAAGTACAATCGTTATTAAAAAATAGGGTCCTAAGCAGATACAGTCCTGAAATTAACAAGGAAATTCATAAAAATGAGTACCACTTGTAAAACTAGTGCCGAAATACCGCAGATGACCACGGTGGGGCATTCGTCACCTACCCGCTACGCAGTCGGGGCACCAGCTGCGTCCCTGTTTGTCCTTCTCGCCGTAGAAATAGATGTAGATGTTGCGCTGGTTCTCGTAGAGCCTGAGGAGATTCTCCATCTCCTTGAAGCCGCGGGCCGGTACGTATTCGGGCATTATGATGGAATGTTTGGGGGTTTTCGACGTGCAAGTGACTTCCGGATGGTGCTTATGCGTGGCGGTTACAATTGATTCTGGGGCCCACTGCTTATCTGGATCTTATGGGTTCCTCAGTCGGTGCTTATCGGCCATCGGGGAGTTTATCAGGTAATTAAAGGCGTATAAAATCACCGGTCTTTTTGTTGTTTTCCTTTTCTCTTTGCGGCAATCTCCAGCAATGGCGGTATCCACCACACTCCCCGCAACAAACTCACCACTGCCGGCGGTGCGTGCTGTTAAGCGCACCGTGGTGAATACTGCGCTGTTAACCGTCTATCGAAATTCTAGTTTTTCGTCACCCAAACAAAACACATTGTGTAGTGTAAGCTGCAAATTTTGGTTTAAAACTCTTGGATTGTTGGGTTATTTCACAAAAAATTACTTATAATTTTATCCAGATTTTTATTTGAAATTATATGAATGAAGCTTTGGCTTATATCAAAGGTAAAATAAGTTTATAACCCTTATAATGGCTAAAAATGTTATTATTGTCAAAAAGAGAACAACTTTTTGTTGCTTATTTCGTACGACAATAAATAAGTTCTATTGGTCGTTAACTCGACTATCGTTTTGGTATTAAAAAAAAAAACAAAATACAGTATCGATATTCGCAGTTATTGGTGTTATGTTTAAGTTCTGCTAATTTCAGCGTATGTTATGGGAACACATTGTATACCCTTGTTTTAAATAAAATTAAATTAAGGCAGCTTACAACAAAGGGAAAGTGATTATGTAAACAAGATATTATGGATTTTCACTCTCTTTTATAAGCTACTCTAATATTAACCACCTGGAAAATACACCGATAAATAATAAAACAATAACCAAATTCCCTTTCACAGATAATAATTAAAACCTCTATACACCTTCATATTCATTCCAGTTACTTAATGACATGAAAGCTGTCCCCAAAAAATATGATCATTATTTCGGAATTCAGTGATTTATAATAACTGTGAGAATATTGCGATTTAATAAAAAATTAAACATTGTGGTTTGTGTTTTTAAAATATGTTCATATTTATTGAATTAAATTAATAGCTTGAATCTGTGATTATGGCCATTATTTAATGTTTCATTATATAATTGGCAAGTTAAATGGTATTTTTCGTTTGGTCCATTTAATTAAGGGGCATCCTTTATTTAAGATGTCTGGCTTTCCTGGGCCCTAAGCTCTCTCCATTCCTTCTGCCATGCCCTTATCTGCATCGTTTGATCATGCATTTTCCGCATATTATCCTCCAGTTGTTTCTCAACTATCTGACTCAAAACATTCATCTTGCTCTGGGTATCCGCGAATAAAGCACCCAAATCTCTCTGTACCTCCTGTAGATCTCCTCCCTTGGCTTGAATCTGCAGCGCTCTAGTTATGAATTCCCGTTGCAACTTAGCTCTTTCTTCTTCAACATTAACTTCTTCAGAATGCGCCAATGGTGCAAACATTGCCAGGACAATGGCAAAGTACAAAATGTAGGATGTTAACTTAAACATTGCGACGATAGACGACCACTCCAAGTTGGAATTTGAAAACGAACTGAATGTAATCCGACTGTTTAAGAACGAAGAGACCTAAAACATGGCTTGATAAGGGCACCTGATTGTCCAAAAACTATGTGGCCTTATATGTATTATAAGTTTGTATTTTGTATTTTGCTGATAAGGTAACCCGGATGTCCAAATGCGGACTTATATATTTAAAGCTATATGAATATTTTATATAAAACAAGAAAAGAAACAAACTTTGGCAAGCCGAAGTTTATATACCCTTGCAGTTATTACATATTGCCATATTGTAAGGTTTTTGTGGATTCATATAGAGATTTTCCCGGATGAGGTCGAGTCTGGAAAAAAACAATACAGTAGCAAATTCCCCATCACAGATAATAATTAAATCGTCTATACACCTGCATATTCATTCCAGTTACTCACTGAAATGATGGTATCTGTACCCAAAAAATATGAGAGTATTGCGATTTAATAAAAAATTAAACATTGTGGTTTGTGTTTTTAAGATATGTTCATATTTATTGAATGAAATTAATAGCTTGGCCATTATTTAATGTTTCATTATATAATTGGCAAGTTAAATGGTATTTTTCGTTTGGTCCATTTAATTAAGGGCCATCCTTTATGTAAGATGTCCTCGGTCCTATTCCATTTGAAATTCGCCAAAGTATATCCTCCTGTTCTTTCTTATATTTCAGCAACAAAGCATTCAACTTGTTTTTGTGCTCCGCCATTAAAGCATCCAAATCTCTCTGTACCTCCTGCAGATTTCCCCCCTTGGCTTGTATCAACCGGATATTTGTTATCAATTCCGCTTCCAACGCAGCTGCTTCACGATCTTGTTCGTCAGAATGTGCCAATGGTGCAAGAATTGCCAGGACAATGGCAAAGTACAAAATGTAGGATGCTAACTTAAACATTGCGACGATAGACGACCACTCCAAGTTAGAATTTGAAAACGAACTGAATGTAATCCGACCGTTTAAGAGCGAAGAGACCTAAAACAAGGCTTGATAGGGGCACCTGATTGTCCAAAAACTATGTGGCCTTATATATATATTATAAGTTTGTATTTTGTTGATAAGGGAACCCGGATGTCCAAATGCCGACTCATATATTTAAAGCTAGATGAGTATATTATGTAAAACAAGAAAGGAAGCCGAAGTTTATATACCCTTGCAGTTATTACAAATCGACTACATTCCGAGTTCTATGCCTATATTACTAAAAACAATGAAAAACAATGATATGGCTGACAAATCTAAAAGCGTAATTCTGATATAGTAAATAATTACTATAACTCAAATAAATATTTTGATAAATAGAAAGACAGCAAAATAACATTTTTTTTCACTTTTATTTTTTATTAATTAATTTTCCAATATGAGCTATTGACATAGATATCCGATTTAAATTATTACAAAATCCCAAAGAAGAAAAACACAAAATAAAAATCAAAAACCAATGGGGTAATGCCAATCGCGGTGGAAATCCCTACCGGTTTCCTTTATTGGTTTAATACTGTGGAAATTCAAGAAAATTATTGATACAAAAAGCTGTTCAATGATATTTTAAAAAAGGCATGACAAAATATGATCATTATTCCGGAATTCAAAAAATTATAATAACAGTGAGAGTATTTAATAAAAGATTTAATAAAAAAGTTTAAAATTTGAAAACGACTGAAAGTAGAAACCAAATACATGGCTTGACAAGGGCACCTGATTGTCCAAAAACTATGTGCCTTATATATTAGGAACTATATTTATTCATTGCCAAAATCCAAGTACACACATCGTTGTTTATATTTTGCTGATAAGGGAAATGCGAACTTATATATTTAAACCTCATATATTAAAACCTAGTTTTCCATATATAGAAACAGATATATGAGCAGTTAAATATTTATGTACAAAATACTTTCATAGAAATTACATGAAAAAAATATGTATATATATATGTATATATATATGTTTATATTAATTATTAATAATAAGGAAAATGCTTACACCGGTTTGGCAGATGTGGTTTTTAAAATCAGCCAATGATTAAATTTCGGAAGTAATCCCCTTTCTTTTTTGTAAATAAATGAATTGCAATTGCTGGGTTAAAATTCTGCTTTATCGGAATTACCTTGACACAGTTTGTCGGTTCTCACAACTTGAACTTTATTGGGGGTCGCTTTAAACAGAGAAAATAAGATCTTGAAAACTGCAAGCCAAGTGAAAATTGGCTTATAAAATGGATGGTGCATAATGCAGAAGTATTCAGTGAGTCGGAAATATCAAAATGGGTAAGATCTGGGTCTTTGAATTTGTATAACAAAAGCTTAACTGATAAGAGTCGGCCTTTTCTAACAAATACAGTATATAAACAATTGCTTTTATTTGTAACACAAATTGGAAAATTACATTTGGAAAAACTAATAATTATATTTTGGGTTAATTAATTTATCGCCTTCAAAGGATTCTTAACAATTTGGAAAGTATTTGCTTAGCAATTGAAAAGAATGTCGTTTTGTCATAGAACTTGTGGTGCATTTTTCAATAGCCTGAATTTGCTTGCAGCTGCCTTTAGGAAATCCCTGCTGCTCTTCACGCTTTTGCTGGCCATCCACTTGGAGGCCTCGAAGATAGTGTACAAGAAGCCGCTCTATGGGAGCAGTGGTGCCAGCGCCAAGGGGAAGCGTCCTCGGAGCAAGGACATCAAGGTGGAGGCCACCACCCTGAGCAGCACCACCGAAGTGGATTGGCCCGCCGCCGTGGAGTTTGTGATCGTGACCACGCAGAACAGCCAGTTGGAAACTGGAGTTGGTTCGGAGGGGCCCATCAATGTGGCCAGCACCACGGAATCGAGCCTCGGGAATGGCACCTCGCCGCGATCGGTGGAAAGTCCTGCCACTTTGGGCGAACCTGCCACCACCACATCGAGCACTTTGGCCAACACAATTCCATCGCCGCCGACGCCAGGATCAGCGGCATTATCCCAGCAGGACAATCTGCCGGTTCCCTGCACCTGTGGCGTCTTCCTCTCCTCCCAAATCCCCAATGGCCTGCCCACAAAGCCCCTGATCCATCAGGAGTTGGATCGAATGTTCCCCTGTGATGCCATCGGGCGCAAGCAGTGTCAGACCAAGTGTCTGGAGGCGGTGAGTACTGTACAGTGAACACAGTGAAAAAAGATTTGAAACATTATTTTTATGAAAAGTAATTGTTAAATTTCTAATCATTGAGTTTTAAAAAGACATATATTTTTAAGAAAATTACATTTAACATAATTAAATATTAAGGTACATTCTTTAATTTACAGCGTATATTTTTCATTGCACTTAATAGATATTTGGAAACTTTTAGTATTAAAAAATTTAAAATGTTAAAGCGATTTTAGGAACAAAAAGTTTGGATACCAATTTTTCCGATTGCAGTTAATAGGAGTTTAAAAAACTTTTTCTATTGAAAAATTAACCTTTTCTTTCATGGATACAACAGTTTCAATTTAATTTTACACGGTACAGTAAACACTACATAAACTTAACTTTTAATTCTAGATCGTTCAACATTTGCCGAATTCCGCAAATATTGTTTGCTCCGCTTTGGGTCACGATTGCCACAAGGAACGGGCCTATTTGTTCATCAAAAACTGCCACAACCAATGGGTTAATACCAATCTACAAGCGGGCAGGGAATACTGTTGTCGCGGTGGAAATCCCTACCGGTGTCCTTTAATTGGTTAATACTGTGGAAATTCAATAAAAGATTGATACAAAAAGCAATTCAATGATATTTTAAAAGGGGCAAGAGGAAACTAATTGGGTCACAAGTGTTTTAAAGGGTTAAGAACAAAATAACACTTAAATTATTAACTCAACATAACATTTATGTTAAATGGTTTGAGTCTGCGAAAGATACGGCTGTCAGGTTCCGGTCTTCGCTATCTGGTATCTTCTGTTGATAACAGTTTATTCGTGGTGTATTTACGGTATACACCTCAGCTATAACCTGGTCACACTGTGCCCCAGAAATTAATTAGGAATATAAAAATATAAGGAAAACAAAGCCCCCCTCGGACGATAATTCCCCCAGCAAGTAAGTCACATACAAAAACTGAGAGGGTTGTATATAATACCGTCACAAATTACCAGGGTTTTCCTCTCCCCCCCCATAAAAAACACGAAGAACGATGGTGTGCGTACCGTGCTTTATCATTCCACTGCTACTATATATTTGGCACAAATTCGTTCAACCGATTTTGCTGCGATACTGGAATCCCTGGGAAAAGAAGGATGCCGAGGGCAATGTGATCAAGAAGGGTCCCGAGTTCCCCTTCGAGTGCAAGGGCGGCGTGTGCCCCTTCGTTCCGGGGGCCAAGAAATCCCCCAACGACACTGATTCCAATTCCAAGGACTCCGAAAATCCACACACAAGCAATTCAACGTGTACAGCAACAACAACGGCCACACCGGAAGCGGAAATGGCGGAAACTAAAAAGGAAATCTAGTCGAAATTTTCCAAAAATTATATCCTAATCAGTAGATTTGTTTTTTTTTTTTTTGCTTGTCTATAAGAACGAAAAAACGCACACAACACAACAAAAATTCAACGTCATCAGCAGGCGATGTGCGGTGGGCGGCGGTCGGATAGGGGGCGTGGCCTCAAGGGAGCAAAAAGTTCCCTAAACGACAAATAAAAATTTTAATTAAATGTACACCTTGACCACACGAAATCGCTTGTTTTTATTTATGTGGGGGTTTAAGGTTAATTTGCATAGAAATTGTGAACTGTATTAGAAATGAACCTTATTATTTTTATTTTGAGAAGTCAAATCAATTGAAACCGAAGAAATCGCGTTTTGTTTTAATATTTAGAAACTAATTTTTAATTTTTTAGAACTGTTCCAAAGTTTACCACGTCTCATTGACTCACAATGGTTTTTTCCGCCCCCCGAAAATCTATAAAATAATCAAATCAAAACAAGTAGATATTTAAAATAATTATTTAATATTTATTATTTATGTCAAAATGGTTGCATTTATGTTTTGCTGTCTTGCTGTTTAAGTTAGGAAAACAAATAATTTTACAATTTACAAATTAAAAACTTACACAAAATATAGACGATAGAAAGCATTACAGTTCGAATTAAAAATAGTTGCAAATCGAACAAAAAAATCGTATTTGTGGTCTTCTAGTGTCTTTCTCTGTTGTATATTTTTTGAAAATATCTATTAATCAACTTAGATCATAATGGGGGCCTTATATATATAGAAAACTTGGCTGGTTACTGTCTTTTTTCTTGTTTTTTTGTTCGTTTTTTATTAGCATTATACGTTCTCGTTGGTGATTTTTGTATAACTTTTGCAATTCCTTTTGTTTTATGAACTTAAATCAAACAGTTATGAGAATCTTTTTACAGTTTAGCTTAGTCAATATGTAATAATACATAATAGTCATAATAATAATAATAAAAAAAAAACTTGGTGTAAAAAAAAAGGTTTGATGCGGCATACGTCTAACAATTTTGTTTATATAAGCACTTCAGTTTCGAAACCTACAAAACTACGAAATATATATATATATTTATATAGCTTGTGGGCCATAATTAAATGTAGAATTCGATAAAAACTTAGCCTAGACTTAGGGCCTAGTGATATAATGGTCGCTTAAAACTACAAATGTCCCACCAACGTTTAATCGATCATCAATCAGAATTTGCGCTAAGTTTAGTTTCTCCTCTCTCTCTGGTTATTATTTTATGTTTTCGTTTACTGGAAGCTACGATGACGTTACGACAATAAGATAAGATGCGCCACAAAACGAGCTCTTAACTGGTATATCTATGAGTAGATATCTTTATATATATATATATATATTGTTATATATATATGCGATTGGCGCACTGTACAACAAGCATTAAAATAATTTAAGTTACTACAATTTATGACGCTTCTTCCGCTAGAATTGCGTATTTCGATCTTAAATCTAACACTTATTGACACACACAAAAAAAAAAGAAGGGGGCGCGTGAGAAAATACATAATCATAGGGATTATAGAATTACATTATATATAGCATTTTAGATAGAACGTAGCCGCGGACTCTTTAAGAGTCCCTCTGCTGTTATCCCTGGCAATCGCTTTCGATTCCATTTTCGATCCAACTATCCATCCACACATCCCTATTCCCGTCCAGATAGATCATCGCATCGGCTTATGGTCAAATGTAGATGGCCTCGGATCCCTTGTTGGCCTGATGGCCGCCGGAAATGTAGAGATTGTTGGCCGCCGGCGACTGGACGCCCTCGCTCCAATCGGAGTTGGAGCGCGGCGAGGAGGAGGACCAGTGGCCAGGCGACTCCGGCGAGGGCGTCGGGTAGCTGTCCAGCGTCTGGACCAAGTGCTGCGGCGTGTGGCCGCCGGAATGCTGGCTCGGGGGCGTTAGGTACTGGTAGAAGGCCTGCTGGTTGTGCTGCGACGACGGCGACAGCATGTTGGTCGACGGCGACGAGCCGGACATCGAACTTTGTATCGAGGGCGGATTCATTTGACCCGAGTGAAATGAGTCTGAAAGTGGGGGACAGAAAACTATTAGTCATTTACATTGATCAGTGGGCAATACAGCCCCATAAACCTATGCTTTCAACCTCAAATCTAGTAATCAAATTGATTTCCCTTCCAGTTAGCCACAATTAAAAGCTTTCCCTGTTCAAATTAATAATCTAATAACTAACGAATACGTTTTCCTAGTCTAAATGTATAATATAAAAGGTCAATCATCTAAAATGAGTAAGCAAAATTGTTTAACCCATTTCGCTATGCTTTAAAGCCAATGTATTATGTAAAATCTAGAAAATCATTGCCTCAAAAGCTACTGAATGTATAGATCTAATAAGGATAATACATCTTCTGCTTTTTAAAACATTTTAAACTGCCCAAAATGAATAGTTTAATGATGTTATTGTTAGTTAATGTAAAGAGAAAAGATATATAATATATATATAATATATAATATATATAATCTAGCCATTATAGAATTAAACCTAGCAAATCAGTGGCCATTGAAACACTACTGACCCAGAATTAATAAGGATATATGGTTGTTTTTGGCATGGTCGTTAAAATCTGATATTTTGATCACTATTTCGTTATTTTTGAGTGACCTACCCGGAGATCCACAAAATCCATTCAGGTCCAAGCCCGCTGAACCGAACTCCAGTCCTCCGAGTTGCTGCTGCTGATGCTGTTGCTGTTGCTGCTGCTGCTGTTGCTGCTGCTGATGCTGCTGCTGTTGCTGCTGTTGCTGCTGCTGCTGCTGCTGGGGGGATAACGTCTGCATTATTGCACTGCTCTTCGAGGATTGCGGCGGGGCGAGCATAATGCCCATGTCGCTGCCCGTTGGCGAGATGATTCCCAAGCTCACTGGCGAGTTCTGTGGCCCCAGACCGCCGCCTCCTCCGACCACGCCCCCTCCGCTGGCACCGCCCAGCAGACTGTTGAGATTACTGCCACCGAACTGCTTCTGCTGTGTGGCATGCCTCATCGCCTGGATGTGGGTGGGCGAGGTGGGCAGACTGGGTCGCGACTTGGCCGGCGATGGAGAACCTGGAACGGGGAATTAGATCGATTATTATATGCATATTGCAACAGTTGATTAGGCAACTTCTAAGTTATAATATAATATAATTGCGTGGCCCTAAAAGAAAGTAATATCTACTATTTAAATCTCATTCTTCGAATAGCCATTAAATGCAATTAGCACATAGTATTATAAACAAATTTAAGCTTTTAAAAAGTATTCTTTCTCTAAAATCTAAAATCATTTATTAATTTACATTAATAAAATGAAATTGAAATGCAATTGAAATATCTTTAAGAAAGTAGTTCTAATAAAATTTGTAGTATTTAATTGTGCTAATGAAATGTAATTTAGTAAGCATGATAATCAAATAAATTAAGTGCTAATAAGAAACCTCAATAAGAATTAGATAACACTATAAATTATTTAAAAAAAAAAATGTATATCTAATTAAATTAAAAGGAAATCACATTTCATAAAATCACATTCTTGGTATTAAGTAATTAAATAAATAAATATTGAAAGGCAATACAAATGAACTAGTTTAAATGCACAATTTATAAATGTTCCCAATACCCATCCAATTATTTGCTATATATATTTTATATATATATTATTCTGATCTGGAACATACCCAAATAGGCGTGGGGCGAAAGCGCCAGGCTGCTTTGCACCGAGTGCGGCGGCGACTGATTCGAGTACGGCGGACTGAGTCCCTGCTCGTGGCTATTTCCGTTTCCGGTTCCGTTCCCGGTCCCGGTCAGACCGCCCATCCCGCAAAGTCCGGCGGGCAGAACGCCGGAGATGACTCCGTTCCGCTGGCCATTCCCGTTCATCCCGAGTCCTTGGCCATTGAGCAGCTCCTGCTGAAATGGCGAGCCCATCGAGTAGCCGTAGGTGTCCAGCTTGATCATGTCCAGACCGTTGGCCTGCAGCGATTGCAGTGATTGCGCATTCTGGAACGTCATTGGAGAAATTATTAGCATCGTTCAGGCAATTAACAATTATTGTACTAAGATTTAAATTAATGGTTAAACGAAAAACTCAATTATAGCAAAACTAATCAACAGGATTTAGTTATAATCGCATCAATATCCAAGGCACTAGTGTGAATATTAGGGCAGGAGTTGCTTAAGAATTCGCGGTTTGTATGAAAACATAAATGTTTCCACTATGAAAATAATGGCAGGATATTTTAGGAAAATATAGGTAAAAATAAAAATTCGCGGTTGGAATAAGAAACATTTTTTTCGATAAATATAATAGAGATTTAAAAAAAAACTATTTTTTCGGTCAAAATCCAGGCAGGATTATAATCAAATCAATCTCCAAAGAAGCTTTCTGAAACACAATATTTCCACTTAAACAAATTTAAAGGCTATACAACCTCTAAAGTAACCATATGGCATTTTAAATGCTCTGGGTAAAAGCTTAAGAATTCGCGGTGGGGATGAGAAAACCTAATATTTAAGCCCACTTTTCTCCGATAAATAAAATAGGAACTTAAAAAAAAAAGCAAACACTCTTTTGTCCTTCGATATTGCATTGCAAGCGATGCTCAAGAATTCGCGTTTGCCCTTCGACCCTCGACCTTCGACTCACCTTGATGCAATCCTCATAGCTCGGCGGCTGTTTGGCGCCCGTGTTCGGGTTGCCGTTCGCCAGCGGCGCGGCCATCGCGTTCGAGTACATGGAACTGGTGTCGTACGGACTGGGCAGGTTGCCGCCCATGCCCACGCCCACCGGGGATCCCTCCAGTTCGTGGGACATGGCCGCCACGGCTGCTGCAGCTGCTGCCGCCGCCGCCGCCGCCTGTGCCGCCGCCGAGTTCGGAGGCGGAACTCCCCCTGGACTCCCTGGACACCGCCCGGCACTCCCGCCAGCTGGCCGGGATTGAGGCCATTCAAGTGGGCGGCCTTTTTTGAGGCCGCACTTGTCTTTTTGAACTCGCCTTACGCCGCAGACTGCCCGTGGCGTCCAGTCCGTTGTCCGCACTGCTGCCCTCGATGAGCTTGGCCTTCTTGGCCGCCTTCTGCTTGGCCGACTGGCTGCTCTGCTTCCCGACGCCGTTTCCGCCGCCATTGCCCCCGTTCCCGGCGGATATCACCGTCGGCTGGGTGATCAGCTGCGGCTGCTGCTGCTGCTGCTGTCCCGGCGGCGGTGATCCGATCATCGCCTGCGGCGGCATGCTGAGCATCTGCGGGGAGCGCGGCACGTGCTCGTTCAGCAGACGGACGATGTCGTCGTGCAGTCGCTCGTTGGCCACGTCGAGTGGCAGGCGGTCCATGTGGTCGGTGATCTCGCGATTGGCGAAGTTGTCCAGCAGCGCCTTGCACGTCTCGTAGGCGCCCTCGCGAGCGGCGAGGAACAGCGGCGTTTCGTCCTTGTCGTCCTGGGCATCTCGGTTGGCATGGTGCATCAGCAGTATGTTCACCGCCTCCGTGTTATTGACGGCCGCCGCCCAATGGAGCGCCGTCTTGCCGGAGTTGTCCGCCGCATTGATGTCCGCATCGGCCGTGATCAGATCCTCCACCATGCCCTCGATGGCCAGACGGGCGGCCAGGATGAGGGGCGTGGTGCCGTCGTGCATGCGGGCATTCAGATTGGTGGCCCTATTCCGCAACAGTATCTGGAACACGCCCATGGCATCCGCTGCCACGGCCGCATGCAGTGGCGTCCTTCCGGTGTTGTCCTGGCAATTGGCATCCGCTCCGGCGTCCAGCAGCCGCTTGGCCGCATCCGCGCGGGCATGACGGGCGGCCAGATGCAGCGACGTCTCGCCCGACTTGTCCATGGTGGCATTAAGATCGGCGCCCTGGGCGATCAGGTCGGTTATCACCTGGCCGGTGCTGTCTTCGCTGCTCTCGATATCCTCGCCGGTGTCCAGTCCTCCGCCACGCTTGGCGGCTATCATCAGCGGTGTGAGGCCGCCGGGGCCGCGGGCGTCCACGTCGTGCTTGCCGCCATCCTGATGCGCCGGCGGCGTCATGATGGCCCGCACCTCGGCCACATCCATGTGCGCCTGCGACCAGACCCGCTGATCGGCCTCCTCGTACTCACTGACCATCGTGTGATCGCTGGCATAGCCACCATTGTTGCCCAGTCCCACCACGGAGCCCACGGGATCGGACATGTCCCTCTGCCGCTTGGGCATCGGCATGTCCGACTCGTCGTCCGACCAATGGACACCCGACTGGCCAACGCCCTGTGCCTGCAGCGAGATGCCGCCCTGCTTGTTCAGATTGCGCATCTCCTGGCCATGCGGATCGCGGCGACGACGCGACATCACCGCCGCCGGGGCACGGAATCCCTCCGGGAACCAGGTGACGCCATGTGCCCGCTTCCGCTGCGTGCTGAGCACCATGCCGAAGAAGGCCAGCACGATGATGACCAGGATGATGCCGGTGATCACGTACTTGACGTTCGCCGGCGGTTCGCCGTTGTCCTCGTCGCCGGGATTGGTGATCCCGCGCACACTGTGGATCTGGAAGTCATTGCGCAGCTGGTGTTTGGCCGCCGTGGCCGCAAGGAATTCGGCTGCCTCGGCGGCATGGGTGAAGCATTCGGTGCACTTGCGATTGTCGATCTCCAGGTAGATCTGTATGCCCGTCTGGAAGACCTGCTGTGTGTAGAGGATCTTGTTCTTGCGCGCAAAGTCCGTGTCCTCGATCTCCGGCACCCGCTGGCTGTCCTTCCAGTTGATGATGATGTCGTGGCCGAGGGCGTCCTTCTTCAGCCGCACCGTCGTCCGCAGCATGTGGCTCATGTTGCGCAGGAACGAGGCCTGCACCTCGCGGAACGCCTCCACGTTCATCAGCATCACCACGGACATGGCACCTTCGGCCAGCACCGGCGATTGGGTCTTGTTCTCGCAGTCGAGGCCGTCCCAGCTGCACTCCGCATTGTTGCACCCGTAGTCGCAGAAGCCGTCGCCATAGTGCTTCTGGCAGTAGGCGTCGTAGAGGCAGTTCTTCAGCTTCCGCTCGCAGTCGTGGCCATCGAAGTGGCAGGCCGCATTGTTGCACTCCTCGTTGCACTTGCCGTTCTTGAACTTGTTCCAGCACTCGTTCGCCGAGCAGTTGGCCCACGGATTGATGCCCAGCGAGCAGTCGTTGCCGTCGAAGTTGCAGGCATAGGTGTTGCACTCGGCATCGCAGTCGCCGTTGCCCTGCTTCTCGTTGCATCCCCGCTTCTCGCACATCGCCCGCTGCTGTTCCATATCGGCGGCATACCGCTCCTTGCCCGTCGACCCACCCGCCGCACTCGAACCACCGGATCCGCCATCGTTCCAGCCGGGATAGCCCGCGTCGTAGACGTCGCACCGCTTGCCGCCCCATTTGCTCGGGCAGAGGCACTCGAAGTCGCCCAGCAGATTGTCGCAGGCGGCGCCCTGGGCACACGGATTGGGGCTGCACTCGTCGAGGGTGTCGATCTCGCAGTGCTCGCCGATGGTGCCGCGTGGGCACTCGCACCGATAGCCGAAGCCCTCGTCGGCCACCACACAGTTGCCGACGCGGCAGGGATTGGAGTCGCAGTCCTGGCCGCTCAGCTCGCAGTTCTTGCCGTAGAAGCCGTTGTTGCAGATGCAGTGGTGGCCACTCTGCCGCACATTGCAGTTGCCGCCATTCTGGCAGGGACTCTGGGCGCAGAAGTCCACCTTGTGCTCGCAGTGGCGACCCATGTGGCCGGGTCGGCAGTTGCAGTGGTAGTTGTTCACCAGTTGGACGCAGTCCAGAGTTCCAGCATTGGAGCACGGATTGCTTAGGCACTCGTTGATGTCGCCCTCGCAGCGGGCGCCCACGAATCCCGGCTGGCAGACGCACTCGAAGCCGCCGACGCGATCGATGCAGCTCCCGTTGTTGTGGCATGCCCCCGGCTTGCAGTCGTCCTTGTTGATCTCACAGATGATGCCCACGGTGCCGGGCGGACAGCTGCAGCTGAAGTTCATCACGCGGTCGTGGCAGGTGCCGCCATTCTGACAGGGATTGGGGGCACAGTCGTCGATGTTCAGCTCGCAGTTCTGCCCCTGGAATCCCTGGCGGCAGCTGCACTCGTATGCCCCAACCAGGTCGCGGCAGGTGCCTCCATTCTGGCACGGCTGCGACTGGCACTCGTCGATCTCCTTCTGGCAGTAGCTGCCCGCATATCCCTGGGCGCAGTAGCACACATGGCTATTCCCGTAGTCCTTGCACGTGCCATTGTTGCACAGCTGCCGGAGACTGAGACCCTTCCGCTCCGCCGCATCCTGGCAGGATATCGTCTGGACGTCGCACAGCTTGCCCGTCCATCCCGCGGAGCACTTGCAGCTGAACTGGTGCTTCAGCTGGCTGCAGGTGGCCCCATTCTCGCAGGGCGACTGGCCGCACCAGTCCACGTACTCGGAGCACTGCTTCCCGGTGAATCCGCTGGGGCAGTGGCAGGTGTACTCGTCCCGCTGCTCGTGGCAGGTGGCCCCGTTCCGGCAGGGATTCGAGTCGCACTTGTTCAGCTTGTACTGGCAGTTGGCCCCCGAGAATCCCGCCAAGCAGCTGCAGTTGTACCCATTGATCCCGTCCACACAACTGCCGCCGTTCAGGCAGGAGCTCTCCGTGCAGTCCTCGTCGTTCGTCTGGCAATTGATACCGCTGAATCCGAGTGGACACGTGCAGGTGTAGCTGTTCACATACTGGCTGCAGGTGGCCCCATTCTGGCAGGGCTGACTCAGGCACTCGTTCACGTCCGTCTCGCAGTGCTTGCCATCGAATCCGTCCACGCACAGGCAGCTGTAGTCGCCGATCCCGTCCAGGCAGGTGCCCCCATTCTGGCACGGAAACACGGCGCAGTCGTCCGTGTTCACCGCACAGTCCCGTCCCTCGTAACCCTTGGTGCACAGGCATCGGTACGATCCCGGGACATTCAGGCAGCTGGCTCCGTTGCGGCAGGGCGAGCTGAGGGCACACTCGTCGATGTCCTCGTCGCAGTAGCGACCCGTGTAGCCCAGCTTGCAGGTGCAGGAGAAGTCCAGGAAGTTCGAGCTGGGCGTGCACTTGGCCTCGTTCCGGCAGCGATTGCTCGCACAGGGATCCATCTTGCTCTCGCAGTCGCGTCCGGTGAAGGGCACCTTGCAGACGCACTTGTACCCGTTGACCTTGTCGATGCAGGTGCCCCCATTGCCGCACGGACTGGCCACACAGTCGTCGATGTTCGTCTCACACTTCTGCCCCGTATAGCCCGGCATGCATTGGCAGCTGAAGGCGTTCAGTCGGTCGTAGCAGGTGCCGCCATGCTGGCAGGGATTGCTGCTGCACTCGTCCACGTCCAGTTCGCACCGCTTGCCAGTGTATCCCGGTGGGCAGTGGCAGATGAACTCGTTGATGCCGTCCTCGCAGCGACCACCATTCACGCACGGATTGGAGGCACACTCATCGACGTCGCTGAGGCAATGGGCATCGTAGAATCCACGCGGACACTCGCACTTGTAGCCATTCACCTGGTCGATGCACACACCATTGTTGGCACACGGACTGCTCACGCACTCGTCCACATTCTTCTCACAATGCTGACCCGTGAATCCGGGGACACACTGGCATTTGTAGGAATTGATGCCGTCCACGCAGGTGGCCCCATTATTGCACGGATTGCTGTGGCACTCGTTCACGTTCACCTCGCAGTTCTTGCCACTGGTGCCCGCCTGGCACTGGCAGTAGTAGCTGCCCACACGATCCTGGCAGTGGCCATCGAACTGGCACGGATTCGACTCGCACTCGTTGATCTGCTTCTGGCAGATGTAGCCCTCGTAGCCGGGATCACAAAGGCACTTGAAGCTGTTCACGTCGTCGATGCACTTGCCCCGATGGCAGGGATTCGAGTCGCAGTCATTGATGTTGATCTCACAGCTGGTGCCCGTGTAGCCCGGCGGACACTCGCAACTGTAGCCGGCGATGGAGTCGTGGCAGATGCCCCTGTTGCGGCACGGCTGCGACTGGCAGTCGTCGATGTTGATCTGGCATCGGGTGCCGGCGAATCCCAAGGCGCAGCTGCACTTGAACCCATTGATCTTGTCGTGGCAGGTGCCGTCGTTCAGGCACGGATTCGACTGGCACTCATCGATGTCGATCTCGCACTGGGTGCCCGTGAATCCTGGCATACAGACGCACCGGAAAGTGCCCGGATCATCCAAGCAACTGCCCTCGTTCTGGCAGGGATGCGATTCGCACTCGTTGATGTTCGTCTCGCAGCGCGGACCGGTGAATCCCTGCGAGCAATTGCAGCGGTAGCTGCCCGGCGTGTTCACACAGATGCCGTTGTGCTCGCATGGCGATCCCTGGTCACACTCGTCGATGTCCTCGGAGCAGTCGACGCCCTTGTAGCCGGCGGCACAGGAGCAGGCGTAGGAGCCGTTGATCGGACTGGTGTCGCAGATGGCGTCCGCGTGGCAGGGATTCGAGGTGCAGGCGTCGTCCAAATGGCACAGCAGCCCCGTCTTCCCCTTGGTGCACTGGCAGTAGAAGCTGCCGACGCCGTCGATGCAGGTGGCACCGTAGAAGCAGGCCGCCTGCTTGCAGTCATCCGTGTTGTTGCTGCAGTCCAATCCCGCCCAGCCGTTCACGCAGATGCAGCTGTAGGAGCCGTGGGTGTTCGTGCACGTGGCTCCGTTCTGGCACACCGGGTGCTCCCGCTGGGCGCACTCGTCCACGTCGTCCTGGCAATACGGCCCCGTGAAATTCGGCGGACACCGGCAGCTGAACTCCGAGATCCCGTCGATGCAGGTGCCCCCGTTCTGGCACAAGTGCCCCAGGCAGTCGTCGATGTTCTGGTCGCAGTTCTTGCCCTCGAAACCTGGAAGAAGATGGGTCACATATTAGGTCATAAGTTCACATTTGGGATACTTTGGCATCCTCAGAAGTAATCTCTATATTAGATCTAAGACGTAAATATTACATTAGACCTTAGATGTAAACACTACGTTAGATCTAAGAAGTAGTACTTCCTATTATAATTAGAAAAAATTTTAATTTTGTTCCTAAAAGCAGTATCTATATAATTAAAACCCTACGTTAGATCTAAGAAGTAGTACTTCCTATTATAATTAGAAAAAATTTTAATTTTGTTCCTAAAAGCAGTATCTATATAATTAAAACCCTATATCGGTTAAAACCCATCAAAGGTCAATAGAAAATATTCAATCCTCCATTTCTCCATGTACTTTATAGTTATGCTATAGAAATAAAAGATAGATCAGACATAAGTTCTGAGTATAAGGTAAAAACCAAGTATCCAAGAAGTTACCACTATATTAGAAAAAATTGATCGATAAAAACCCATAAAAAGTCAAGAAAATATAAAGCTTTAGCATTAGTTGTGAGTAATGATAGAGAATTTTTTTCCAAATAATGAAATATATTTTATGATGTGAACAAGAATTTATGGTAATGTATATAACATTAATAAATTAAAAAAAAATTAAAAAAAAATTTTTTTTAATATTTTTTTAGGATTTAATAATAAGTGATTTTGAAACTTTATTTTTATTGCATTCAAATTTTGTTTCGGAACATGGACCTCAATGTGCATCTGTCCTATTTTCTCCCCTCTCCCTCGCACCCACTGAATCCAATGAAGTGCATAAAAACAGATTTATGGCAACAAAACATCATAAAAAATGCTTCAATAATAAACGTTTACAACAACAAAAAAGTGGTTGAGAGACCAGCATTAATAGAAACAGCAATAACAACAAGGGGAATTTAGCGAAGGAGACAAGCAAAAAGAAAACGACGCTTAAGATTGTTGTTTTGCAGCTGGGCTGCACATGTTTTTAAGAGCGAGAAAGAGAGAGCAAAAGAGAGATACAAAGAAAGAGAACATTTCTCTTTTCTCTTTTTTTTATAATTTTTTTTTTCATTCTCCTTTTGCGCCTGCGCCTGGGCTTCGCAATTTATGCATCTGCGCATGCGTGTTGCTCCTCTGGCTACTTCCCCGCCGAATCTGGCTACTTTTCGGACTCAAACAAATTAAGTTTTGTTTGACTTAGCTTACATTTAGCTTTATTTAAACCATTTCTACATAGACAGCTGGCAGCACTGCTGCGCATGCGAAGCGAATGGGCAAACAAAGTGTAACGTGGAAACAGACAAGGCAAGGCAAAAAGCGCGCAGACGCAAACACACAGTCATTTACCAACAAACAAACACACGCGCACAGCAGAGGTCAAAATAAAAATAACTTGTGTTTTAAAGGGCTTTTTGTAAATGATTAATTTAAATTGAAAAAAAATGTGTATCACTTGTTAAACTGAATATTTCTACAGGTGCACAGGGAATAAAGCAGATATTGCGAAAAATATCTATTAAATATTTTAGTCTCATATTGAATTATTTGAAAATGCAACATTTTTTCATTTTTTCTTCTAGGGCTGTAATTATTATCAAACTTTACTTAGATAATTAAATTATCAAATACAATTTTCATCATTTTTCGAATTGGTCAATTTGTGCCCTATTTGTGTGGCCGCTATTGTGTCAGCATACATGTGCCACTCACACACACAGACAGCAACAACATGTCTTTCGTTGTTCTTTCCCACGGTCTCATATCTTTTGCCCCAAGCCTCTGCCGCGGTCGCTGTCGACGGCGACGTCGCAGCCGGCTTCGCTGTCGCGGTCAACTATTTCGAATGCGCGCCAAGCCATCTTTCCTCTCGCTCACACTGCCACGCCACTTATAGTGCCATCTCTATCGCACAACAATGGAAAAATGCCGTTTATGCTTAATTTTTTGTTTCGCTCTCTTCTCGCGCTCATTTTCTCTCTCGATCGCGTTTTTGGACCTCGTTCATTGCGCTTTTTTTTTTTAGTGTGTGTGTTGGAGGAATTAAATCGCATTTTATGTGCATTGGTATTTTTTTTTATATTTTTTCTCTCGCTCTCGCCCACGAGATTTTTTTTTAAATGGATTTTCTTGCTTGGTCGGTTTTTTCCCCATTTATTTCATGCCACAAAAGAAGGGCCACAAATACACAAACTCAAGAAATATGCATGCGTGTGCGGCATTTATTATTATTATTTTTATTATTTGCAACTGCAACTTGTTGCTGAAAAAGTACAAAACAAAAAAGGAAAGGAAAAGGGGAAGGAAAAAATAATAAGGAAAAAAAGATAAACCAAAAAAGGAAGAAAAAATTGTGACGAAAGTGACATTTTAAGTGTAACCCACACCATTCACCATTTTTTTTACATTTAAAAATAAACCAAGCGAAAGAGATGGAGCATAACATAACAACAACATCTGTTTTCACATTCGTAACGCTTTTTTTTTTAAAGTCACCCAGTCACTTAGTGACCGCACTTTGAACTCTAATCCTCAAACACTTTTCAAAAACCTATCCTATTGTTGAAAAAAGGACCCCTTACTTTCGCTCACCATAAATATAAATTTCGTTTAAATGGTAGCTTGGTAATTAATGTTATTTTTTAAAACCTTTCTTAAGGATACAAAATATTCTCTGTTTCATTATTATCTGTATTATGAGGTGGTTCCCTAAAAAAAAAAAATTCGAATTTTGGTTTTAACCTGAAGTAGTTAACGATATTTAGCAAATATTTCCTAAGACCCACTCGATAATTCATATTCATTTTATTTCTCCATTTCTACATCAGCTTTTTAACCTTCTGCCTTCAATTGTCGCCCATTCAGTGTTTTTCTTATTGTAATTTTTTATTCATCATGTAAATTGCTCGCATTGCATTTTAGCGCACATGTGTGTGTGTGTGTGTTTTGTGTGCAATTTTCAATTAATTCATTTCAATTGATGCGAATTGCACACGACAATTTACAAGCTGCACAAACTGCAGCGAGGGGAGCTAAAACAATTTGATAAGCTCTGTGTCTGGCCTTTTAATTGCGCCCAATCAAAAATTCTAATGAGGCAAACGCAAATGAGAAATTCGAAATAGATCAGATCAGCTAAAGATCGTGTGAAATAGGGAGCAGCAGGAATTGGACAATTATTATTATAGATTTGATGGGAAAAGCTTGTAATAATGTACAATTAACCAAGAAACGGAGATATAACTTGGTATCCAGGAACAAGATCTTCAATTCTATTGTATCTTGGATTGCAGAAAGGGTTCTGTTTTGATTTTTGGGATTTAGTATGTTTATGGCACCTAATTTGATGATTTGGCATTTAAGAACCCTTATAAAAAACCATTCTATGAAATAATACAAAGTGCAACAATATTAACTCGGATTGTATAGAAGTTTTAGTACAATCAAATGCTTGTAAAGATCGTGTGAAAGTGTGACCAAAGCAGGAATTTGCAATACTTATTGCACTGGGAAATGTTATAACGCCTTTTTCGCACTCCGTTGTTGTTGTTTGTTAAACTTAAGTTGTTGTCGGCTTATGTTGAGCAATTCCAACCGAATTACAAAAGCCAGCGAGCAACCAAACAACCAAACAACGAGCAACAACGAAACCGACACGACACGAATCGCCCTGTGGACATCACGTTGCAATAAGAGTGCAGAAAAAAAAACATAATGGGAGGGGTAAAAAGGGGGAGGGGCAGGTCGGAGTTGCACTCATTATGCAAAATAAAGAAAGAAGGAAAAAAAAAACTAAACTAAACAACGGGCGGCAACTCACTAAAGTTATTGGCTGGGAAAACAAGTTGAGGGCACCAAAAATAACAAGGGAAAAAAGCCTCCGTCAAAAATAATTATAAATAAGCAGAAGGAAAACAAGTAAGGCACCATCAATAAAAAGGTTTTATGACTAATTAATTAGAAAAAAAAATTATGAGTAAAATAAGCGACAAAAGGATTCTGATTAAACTCTTTTCTATAATCTATCTATCTATCTCCAAACTAGTCTTTCAAAAAAAAGGTTCTTACTTAAACATATAATGGAGTACTTTTTTTATTTATAAGATATATATATATAAAATAATAATAATGTTTAAAGGTAAAAATTTAAGTAAATGATTAAATTCTCAGGAAGCTTTAAATGGTAGTTAAGTTTTTGGCATAACTAGTAACATCAAAAAACAAGAAATTAAAGCTAACTTCGGGCGGATCCGAAGTTGAAATACCCTTGCAGAATATTCTGCAAATTATATTCTCCAAAATTATTCATATGATGCATTCTAAATACTCATAAAAAATCCCAACTTCCTAACTTTAAAAATACCAAAGTTATGGCACTTCCAATCGTTCAGTTATATGGCAGCTATAGAATATAGTCGGCCGATCCATATGAAATTTGATATGTGGTATTGATTGGGCAAAAATAAAACCCATAGAAAAGCCCAACTTCCTAACTTAACAAACAGCAGAGTTATGGCATTTCCGATCAATCAGTTATATGGCAGCTATAGGATATAGTCGGCCGATTCTTATGAAATTTGGTACGTCGGATTGATTGGCCAAATAGAAAACCCGTAGAAAGTCCCAACTTCCTAACTTAACAAACAGCAGAGTTATGGCATTTCCGATCAATCAGTTATATGGCAGCTATAGGATATAGTCGGCCGATCCCGGCCGTTCCGACTTATATACTGCGTGCAAAGGAAAGAAGGGTGTGTGCAAAGTTTCAATTCGATATCTTTAAAACTGAGAGACTAGTTCGCGTAGAAACAGACAGACGGACAGACAGACGGACAGACAGACGGACAGACGGACAGACGGACATGGCTATATCAACTCAGGAGGTGATCCTGATCAAGAATATATATACTTTATAGGGTCGGAGATGTCTCCTTCACTGCGTTGCACACTTTTGACCAAAATTATAATACCCTCTGCAAGGGTATAATCACAGCGAGATTGCGCCAATTCCGGGGGCTATCGTAATTCCTCCTAATTTATCTGATAACCGCCATCCATCCCCCCTCCTATCGTATCTCAATCCAAAACTTTTACCAATGATCTGCGAGGTGGAATGAATGCTTAAGCACAGTTACGCCCTAAGGAGGTCATGCAACACAATCGGAGGAAGAAACCAAGGAAGCCGAAGAAACCGCCAGAAGAAACAGAAGAAAGACGCGGTGATGGGGCCACGATCTTTAAATTTGTAATGCGCCCGGAATGGTGGAATGGAATGAACTGCACTTCCAATGGGAATGGGAATGGGCTGCAATGTAAAAGTTGCAGTCGAAAAACTGATGAATGATGCTGGGCTGGTCAAAAAAAAAAAAAAAAAAAAAAAAGGAGGCAAAGGGGTTTTTAGCTGACAAACGAGTTTGCCCCTTGTGGCAGCTACTTCAGATACTTCAGCGTGGGCGACTACTTTTTTTTTCCAACCATTTGGCTCGTGGCCAGTCATGAGTCATGACTAACCATCATCGATAACTGGTTATCGATAGGCGGTGAGAAGCGTTCTCATCGGAAAGCGGCGAAACATTTTCCCCTGATTGCTGAGAACTTGAAGCCTCGGGTCGGGTTTCTGCTTCCATAGGAAATCAACCTCTAATAACTGATCTCCAAGTGGGAGTAAGCAATTGAAATTTGTTACCCGGGGGTTTACACAGAAATTTGTGTCTTGAAAATACTTTCGAGAAGTGTAGTTACCTAAAAATGTAAACTAACCTATAGTAACTTGGGTGTGAGTTAAGATTAAGCCAACAAATTCAGTACTTGGGTAGCCAGCCTTAAAAATGTATTTTTTAATTGGATTTAGATGTAATGACTTTTTCATTTAACGTGTTAGATAAAAAAAATTTATATTGATGGTTCGTCTATTATTTTTGGTACTTAATGTACTTGCACCAAAAGCTTTCAGGAGCATTTATTTTGGTTGAGATGTCATTAAATAATATATAATATTCCTAAGTAACCTTGGGTAACTTGGCTTCTAACGAAGCCAAAGATATAAAACTTGGTATTAAGGTAGCCATTATTTGTACATTTATATTGTTTGTTAACAACTCACCTTTGGGGCACCTGCAGTCGTAGGACAGCCCCTTCGATTGGCAAACTCCACCATTCTGGCAGGGCGATGGTGAGCAGGGCTTGTACTTGGTGTCGCAATCCTTTCCCGTGTAGCCCGTGGGACACATGCATCTGGAACAGAAGCGAGAACAGCAATTAAACGCGGTTTCAAGTGCAATTAAATTCGGCCTGCCTGGCTACTACTATACTACTACTACCACCAGGGAAACCATAAAATCTGTCCCTGGCCCGAACTTCCGTTTTTGTTGCAGTTCGAATTCGGATTCGGAATCGGATTCGGATCTGGATTTGTATCTCAATCCAAAGGGGCTTAATTCGAGTGAGTGTGTGTGTGTGTGTGTTTGGTGGACTGGCTCTGCCACAATTGCTTAGAGGAGTTTCGACCGGTTTTTCGGTTACCACAAAATAAAAAGAAGGAAAACAAAGATATATAATAAAAAAAAACTCCAGTGGAGTATCTCTCTCTGGGACTCTCTTTTATGGCCCGGGTTTTTGTTCACTTTGATTTTGTACTGCCGCTTCTTCTTTCATTCTTATACATTTTTGTTGTATTTTTTGTGTTTTGTTTAATGTGATTTAAACTTAATTTGCTTGTGCCTTGTAAACCGAACTGAAACTCCAACTGCACTGGGATTCTTGAGAAATGTTTTTTTTTTTTTTTTCAGCCATTAAAACGGGTTTGGTTTTTGTGTTTTTGGCCGCGCCGGGAGCACCTTAAAAGGCCAATGGACAAGACCACGCCTCTTCCAGCGCTAATTAAGACCATTAAAGAGCATTTAATTAAATTAAACAATTAAAAGGCACCAGCCGAGAAGCAGCGGCAGCAGCTCTTTAAATAGTCAGCATGGCCAAAACACAGAACTCATTGGGGATCCCAATTCTTCGGAGAGCCCCCCTCCCCCTCCATACGCATTTCCCATCTCCCCAAAGGTTTTCGAGTAAATTACATCGAATTGAAAATTGCCGGTGCCTAACAAAGAAAACAAAGCAGAGAAACATTCCGAAAAAAATTGATTTTTGATTGACATGTGAAATCCAACAGGCCAATAGCCCAGGGGCCTCTCGTTTTTTATCTCTCAAAATAAAACGAAGATTGGATTTTGGGTTTTGGGTTCGTTGAGTTATGGGTTCTTTTTTTTTTTTTTTTTTTTTTGGTGTGGGGCTCTTAATGAGCAAGTGAAATCTGGGCAGATTTCAATTATTTATATTTCAAATGGTAAATTTCTTTTCTTCCATTAAAAAAATAGAGAAAAATATGTGCTATCTGATTGCCACTTTGGTATTTTAAATATAATTATTTATAATATATAAAGTTATAGAAATAAAATATTTTGAAAATTACTATTCCACTGCACTCGAAAAAAATGCAGTTAACCTTTGACCGACTCCCATGGAAAATTATTCATCCATTAAACCACTCAATATTCAATGGGCTCATTCCAATTGCCATGAATAACGAATAACGAATCACGAATACCTATTCAGTTAATTATTCGTTTGTGTTCGACAGTCTGTTTCCATTAATAAATTCCCAGCAACTGACAGTTGACAAATAAAATCGCTGTCTTTGCCAAAATAAAACGAAACACAAAACCTAAAACCTCATAAACTAAAGCATGACTAAGCTTTCGGCGGCAGGTTTTAGCATAGAAACATCATAAAATCCACAAATCGAATATGAAATTTATGCAAATTGCCCTGCCAGCAATTCAACGGTGGCAGAAGATCATTTAGGCCCCCCATTCACTTCCCGATCGTAACGATTTATCATTTGGCTTTTAATATTATATTTTTGAGCCACACACAAAGGACCAAAATTAATTGCAAACATATGTATAATATGTATATATTTAACTACATTTAAGTATTTCCAACTTTGAAGGGAAATTATTTCAAGTGTATGCTAATTGCTTTGAAAACATGGACAGTCAAACTAAACTAAAACAAACAGCAAACACATGTTCACATCGCACTTTTCGACTCAAATGGTTTTTAGTAAAGATATATATAAATGCCCACCAACCACACACCCTCTTCACCGCTCCCTTTGGATAATTTGTGTGTTTCAAATTAAAAATGCAAATGATTACGGAGTGACACAAAAAAACCAAACGTAAACGAAATAATTTAATTTACGTGGCCTGAACCAGTTCCCAAAAAAAGTATACAAAAAAAAAAGAGTAAAAACTTGTGTTTTCTAGACAAAAGATCGCCGGAAATTTGAGACCTTTTGTCCGACGACGACTCATTTTCTATAGGTCGATCGCGTTTTGTGTGTTTTAATTAGAGTGGAAATGTTGTTGGGCCAATTGGCAATTTGTTGTTGGCCTAAACGAAAATCAATAAGCTATGCAAATCGCTTCGAAATAAAATGCGATTTTATAAGTTATTACTCTTAAGTTGCCATTAATTAAAGGAAGCCACCACCAGCGAGCGGCCAAAAGCCTTAGATAAATATGCTAATCGTTTCGCAACGATGATTTGTTATCGATTTCGGGATTTGAGGTTTTTTGTTTTTTTTGTGGTCGCCCACAAGAAAAAACAAATGAAAACGGTGCAGAATCAGACGTGTTTGATCTTTTGTCGAACAGAGAAAACAATTTGCACTTGTCAGCTGGAAGTTGAGTTATCACATCCGTTGACAATTCGATTTATTGACAATCGGCGCTTCGATTGATATTCAAACGGGCTGGAATTTCGATGTCCAGCGATTTGTTTTGTCCGGGCTTTAAGTTATTGGCCGAAAAACGATGTTTTTAAGGTGTAATCGATGGGATTAACAAAAACATTAAAATGTTAATTGCCATTGCCATAAATTAATGTAGGTTTTGTAATGAGGCTTTTGTTTTGGACTTTTGATTTTAAGTAGTTCAACTGGAGTGGTTCGATTTATACTTTTTCTTCTAATTTATAATGATGTTTTATGTAATTAGTTTTAATTGTTTTATGTAATGTAATGTAATTGTTAATCGATTATTATTTGTTTTTTAATTTAAGTTATATAGACAACTTACTTGTAGGATCCGTGGGTGTTGACGCAGGTGCCGCCGTACTTGCAGGGATTCGACTGGCACTCCTCGATGTCCTCGGAGCAGGTGTGACCGGTGAATCCTGGTGGGCAGGAGCAGGTGAAGCTGCCACTTCCGGCCAGGGCGGTACAGGTGGCACCATTGCGGCAGGGCGAACTGGCGCACAGATTCTTCGTCTCGCAGTGTGAACCTGTGAAGGGATTGGGATAATAAGGATATAGTCCTGGATTGTCCTGGCACTGCCTCAAGCGATAGGAAAGCTCACCTGTATAGCCGTTGGCACACGCACACGTGTACTCCTGCAGGGTCTTCAGTTGGCAAGTGCCACCGTTGTGGCATGCCACATGATCGCAGGCATTCGGCACCGGTATTTCGCACAAGGACTCGTCAAAGCCCAAAGGACATTGGCACGAGAAGCCAAAGCGACCGTTGCGAAAGGTCACCTGGCAGGTGCCTCCATTCTGGCAGCGTCTTGTCATGCACGGATTGCGGTGTTCACAGTAGTCGCCAACATAGTCCGAGTCGCAACTGGAAAATGAGATGCAGATGGATACGGATTAGCGGGTTTGCCATTTAAATAGGTTGCAGGTGGCGGCGATTTGAATAGGAGCAGTGGTGGCACACACTTGGAGAAAAAGTATACGAAATGGGCCTCAAAATGCACCAGTTTAACCCGATTGGTTTCCCACTTTTTCCCCCAGTGCTTTCACACACATATTCGATCGGCTGGTAGTTTATCGACTTGTCGGCTTAGTGGACCAAAGTCAGGAGCCAGATCTGCGCCGCCTGATAAATCCAAAGCTCCAACTCCACTCCGAAGTGTTAAAGCTGACAAAGTAGCCCCATTTCCGCCCCAACTCTGCTCCTTGGACCACTTTCACATGGCTGAATTCGGATTGGACAAGTTGGGGATCCAGATGAACGACAGATAGCATATCTTTAACTTATTAAATGCCAGATGTCTTTAATTTGAATATGTCGATGTAGGTGTGAAAGCGACTAATTGTTCCTGTCAATTTCAATGTTCTAAATATATAGATTAACTCTATTTTGTATATGAATTTCGTTTCCCTTTCTAGCAAGATCCCACAGTTTTTCATTGACTTTTAATGAAATCGGGGCCAAAGGAAAATCGGTCCAATAAGTTTCCCATAAACCATATTTTGTGGTGCAAACAAAAGGCAAGAAAAAAATACTACAAATTGGTTGAGTAATGACAATGATGAACAATATCTGCTCTTCACATTGGCGACTCTCTTTTGTCGATACTCCACTCCCAACTTAGTGTTGCTGTTGTTGTTGTTGCTTTTCGACGACATATTATGCCTTGTTGTTGTTGTTACTTTTCCCTTGAGAAAACAATTTTTATGTACGGTAATTTGTGCGCGATCTTGATTGCATATTAAATTTTTTGCCGCTGCTTCTTCATCGGCTGCAATGAGAAAATTACACGCATTGCTGATGCAGTGGCAACAGCAGCAGCAACAGCAACAGCAGCAGCAGCAACAGCAGCAACAGCAGCAACATCAAGCAGCACGGCAGCAACATACCGAACAACCAGCAACAAGCAATGAATAATCATTAAGGCGGCTGCTGACCAACCTGAAAAGCGATGGAGATGGAGACGATGGGATGTTGCTGGTCCAGCAAGCAAAGCAAAAGCAGCATCAGCCGAGGAAAAACCGCTTTTCTTTCGTTTTTTCATTTTTTTTATATATTTTTTTTTTTATTGTCGATCCCTGCTAACTTCCCGTTACAAGTGTGTGAAAATGCTTTAGATTTAGCATTAATTTGTAGCAATCCCCTGCAGAGGCCCTGCCTAACCTCAAAGTCTGTCGATCGTAATCGAAGACAGCTTGCAAATTTTTAAAAGAGAATTTAGAGAGTTGGCAGCAAAAAAAAAGGTGAAGAGTATTAGTACACTTTAAACAATAGAGAAAAGGGTTTTCCATTTGGAAAATTAGCAATTTAAAAATCAGGAAATTTTAATTATTATTTGATTAGCAAATCGATATGATAAGAATGTGATAAGTATATCGATAACACAACAATATTGAATGATATCGATAATTTATATCTGAATTTAAAGTTTATTATATTAGCGTTCTGTGGTATATTAAAATTATAAAATGTTTTTGATAAGGAATCAATAGTCATTAGTATTATTTCGAATTTCGAATTAAAAAAAAAATTTATTTCTGAAAGAGGAGTTTCCCATTAGTAAATAAATTCAAATGATCTGAGTCTAAACGACTTTAAAGCATTTCTTGGCACTAATTTGGCAGAGAATTCCTATAGGTATTCAGCCGATATTAGCCCACTGATAAGACCTGGCCAAAAGGAGGAATAACACTAGAAAAAGCTAGGATACGATGGCAAAGAAGTAGCGAAGGGGAAGCCCCATTCAAATGAGGTGTCGGACTTTTTGCTGCTGCCCAAAGAGAGGGAAAAATGTTGGATGGAAAAATTAATGTAATATAAATTATACCCAGGCCAAGCCGAGTTTTCAGTTCGAGTTCGAAGTTGTTCGTAACTTGTTTCGAGGAGGAAAAGAGAGAGAGAAAGAGAGAGAGAGAGACCCGGTCAGAAAGAGAGAGGGCTAGAGCAGAAAACGTGACTCGCATTGACAAATAAACCAAGGCAGCCACTGGGTGTGTTAGTGTGTGTGGCTGGCTTTATCTCCTTCTCCCCATTATACCCCTTTCATATACAGACCCCCCTTCCCCCATCCTATGATCTGTTTCCAAGCCTCCTTTATAAAGTTGGCCAAAAAGAGAATGAGTCACCTTTTGTCACGTGAAGGAAACGGAGTGGTAAATGGGTAAGGAATACTTTTTATAAATGCTTGAAACCATTGATCTTTATTTAAATTGTATTTATATATATATATATTTTAACATCATTAAGTTCTTTATCGATCTATTTAAAATTACACTTTCCTTTAGTTCTTTCAAGTTTTTGAATACTCCGTTTTAATATCCAAATGAAGTAATTCCTTAACAACAAATATATTTCAAAACTATCCCATTTTAGCCATTATTCTATGTTCAAATCAATAAAACTTTGCTCGTGAGAAAAGCCAGCGCTAATCTATCTCAGATCGGATCAGATCATTGTATCTGTATCTGCATCTCTGCATTTGTATCTGCATCCGTATCTCCGCTTCCAACTCAATTTGCGGTCGGCGATCGGGACAGAAATTGTTCCCAATCATAACTGCATGAAGTGAATATGAAATATACATAGATAGATATATATACATATAAATATATATATATATATATATATATTCGCTTCTCACGATCGTTCGACTGAATGGGTAACCACAGCAGCTCGTATCGAATGGATTATGGATTTCTGGGCTAGATGAGGGGCATGGACTCATGGCTTATAAGCAAATGATTTAATGTCATCGCCCGATGATCATTCATCTTTTTTCGACCACTCCGCTCGACTATAGCTATATATGGCTTCCAGAGATCGAAAGACAACTCTACGTTTGTCTTTCCAGTGTCTAATTTCCCTAGTTGCAATTCACACGCCTCGTACACTGCTCAAAAATCATAATAGACCTATATTCAATCATTTCTAAGACATCTAAGACATTAAAAGTAAAAATTAGTTCATAAAATCTAAGAAAGTGCAAATAACAATTTCAACCAGTTAAAAATTGTTTTTTTTTAATTAGTTCAATTGTTTATTCTTTTAAACCATTACAAAACATTTTAGAATATATTTGGTATATGAATTTTGTATTGCAAAAATAAGTTTAGAACTAATTTATTCTTGTTAAAATAAGCAATTCTCAACTTCAAAGATTTCTGAGTGCATTGCAAAGATACAAACAACGCCACAGGTATAAATATTATTCAAGAATATGTGCAGCTTTCCGCTGATCTCAGCACATTATCACAGGATCGATCGAGGGGAAAGAGGGGGGATTTTGCCTGACAACAAATAAACTGCTTATCGCCGCACAAATTTTCCCCAGACACTCTTCAAAGATCGCCAAGTCATTTGTCGTGATCCCATTTGTTTAATCAGCAGATAAGACACCAATTAGTAGTACTTGATTAAATTGTCTGATTGGGTTTGCTCTGTTCATAAAAATTATGAAAGGCTTACTTTGTAGAGGCTCTAATCAAACCTAAGCTTTGATCCCAATAAATCTGTTTTGATAATCTGGCATTTAGGATTTTTTGTTGACGCTTTTTAATGTTTTCTGATCTTTGACATCAGCTTTATCAGCAATGTTGATAGGAAATGGATCAATGGGTCATACAAATAAACTTTAAACTCATTGATAATGGTATTTTGTATAATTTAATTTGGTTTTTTACATTTATTTACTATAGAACATATATATTTCTTTTGATTATTTTTAAATTCAATTATATTTATGCAAGTAAATTCTACAATGTAATCCCTATATTCTTCTGGGTTTTTCTAAATATGTATAAACTTCACCCAAAAACGAGAAACGATAAGAACAATGATGAGGATCGGTGGAGGGACGAGGAGTATGGCATATTCAGGGTACCGAGCACACTTCTCGCATTACATGCACTCAGTTTTACAGAGTTTCCCGTTTTTTGGCTTTTGCTGAGCCGTGTTTTTCACGTGAAAATGTGTGTTCTTTTTCCATCCGCAGGTGCAACACGCCCAAAGTACATACATAAATACACACACATATATATCTATATATGTATATTCCCTATCCCTGGGCCTTTATCTATCGCTTCCTTTCACCCAGGCATTTGCTGGTATTTGCTTAGCTGTTCGAGAACAATGGGAAAAGGGAGGACAGAGTGGAAAAACGAACCGAACTGAGCTGAACTGAACTGAAATGAAATGCGTGACCCCCGCTCACTAACAAATTTTACACCCAACAAATTTCCTTTCCGTTCTGTTTCCATCCATATGTACAACATATATCTATCCATCCATCCATCCATCCATCCATCCATTTCCAGCTGTTGTTTGTGGAGAGATTTAAGGTCTTCGGTTTGCTTTTTGTTTGATTTCCCATTGTCCGTTGAGCAGGTAACCAAAAAAAAAATAAAATGCATTTTCTGACACTGGTCCGTCAAATGATTTCCACAGGTTCCAGTTTCCAGGTAACGAAAAATACCTGACCATATCCCATTGCGCAACGTGGAGATATCTTTCCCCAAAAATTTGTCTTCTACAGAACTCACATTTTATGAGCTTTTATTGGTTTAATAAAGCGGAAAAACTTCATGTAGATATGAACCATAAAAAACGGTTTTATGATGGGTCGTTTCACTTTGTCAAACTTGTTTGTTTTATGCAAATGATGATCAATCTAAACTATCGCCAATAAAAACTATCTTTATGTTGTCAGTTTGAAAATTTTAAACTTAACTGTTTTATGATAACATAAAACCATAACATAAAAGCGACCATCCGAACTCATTGAAACTTGGTTTTAGTAATGAAATTTTTGGTATTGGTATACTTATGACCAAAGACCTCTTATCATAAACAAAATGCTTTGATATATTTTAGAGAGGTTTCCCAGAGAATAAACTTATTTCCAATAACTTTCTCACCGAAAATCGAATAAGAAGTAATGCCTAGTGAAACTTGGGTGTAAAGAATTTCTATACCTATTGAGATAACTATGTATTTCCATAAAATAAACTATGTGAACTCAAGGAAAATCACATATAACAAATATATTTTTGGGATGTGGCTTTCTTATATCAAAAGCTGCTACAATAAAATAAAATCACATGCAATATATACAAATTTTTAGAAAGAGTTCCCAAAAAGGTACTCCCACAAGGTAAACACCCAACGAAATTTCGATATGTGATTGCCTGACTGGTGGATTTGTGTTGAAATGATTTGTCGCCGGTAGTAGAAGAAAAACCAAAAGGTATTTCCATATATGCATAATTAAGAGATGTAAGCCTGGGAAAATCTTTCATTTGAGTTATGAGAAGACAAAGCTCAGATTTATGTAATGCATCATTCCACATTCGAATAATTAACATTTTGCCTTCTACGCTTCTTCTCCTCACCATCGAACCATCCATCCATCCATCCAACCATCATCATCATCAACATCAACATCAACAACATCGTCTTCGAGTTGGTCTACCATCTTCAGTGTTTCGTGAGAATGCGCAACTTAATTGAGTTTCAATAAAACGTTTTAATTTGACCAAAGAGAGAGGCGAAGAGACCTGGCCAAAGGAATTTTGTACGCCAACGCCTCGACTGCAAAAATAAAAAGGGCACAACAAACTAAAAAAATATATAAAAAATACAATAAAAACAGAGCGCACAAACATACAAACAAGAGGAAAAAAAAAACGGAGCAAAAGGGCCTCTTGAAGAATGTAAAATGCAAGCGGAATGCACAATAAATATTCGCTACGCTTTTCGGGTAGCCAAGATCTCATGGGATGGGCCCATCCACTCTCTTCATCTCGGGACCCTTGTTTCTTCGGAGCTTGTGTAACACAGAAAAGCAATCAGAGCAGGTTGCAAACAAGTTTTTTCCCGAACATCCGAAGGATGTACACATATATATATAAATATATATATATAATAAAAAATGGCGGCTGCAAGTTAAATGTGTCATCCCAGCACAGATGAAAAGTTGGCTTTTCCATTGTAATTCCAGACCATATAGACCATAGAGCATAGAGCATCGAGCCCCATGGCCAATGTGCTTAATGATCAGTTAATTAAAGTAATTGCAGCCTGGAAATGCTTTTCCCCCTTTTTTTCACTTTTTGTGAAGAAAAGAAAAGGCAAGACAAGAAAAGAAATGAAATGAAAAGAACAAGAACGAGAAAGAGGAGAAGGTGGAAGAAAGCAGAGAACATTTTCAAGTGCAAAGCGTGTGAGCCAAGAGTTCAAATAAAAACGTAAATTATTCCCCTGCTGTGAGTGTGTGTGTGTGTGAGCATTTAGAAACACGCACACACACACAGGTCATGCCTTGAAAACAAAAGACTTAGACAACGAACTTTTCTCACCCGACGGTTAATTCACTTTCTGAAGATCAATAATGCTTTATTTCGATTTAATTCAAGTTGTCAGATCCATTTTCAGATTACCAAGATTTGTTAATAATAAATTAAATTTTAATATAAATATATTAGATATAACAATTATATGGATTATCTGACTTAAACTATGCAGCTTTATTATACAGAAAACTGCCATAATAGATTCAGTTCTAGAAGACTTACAAATTATTTATTTTAATTCCTTATGTATTGAGAACCATTTCTGTATTGGTAAATCAAATTTATTTAAACTTGTTCTCTTTAATATTGATATATATTTAACATTTTGAATATTTATTTATAGCAATAAAGATGACATTCCCTCATTAAATCTTGTTCCACTATCAATTCAACCTGATCTCTTGTTTGTATTCTAAAATAGTACAACAGTTTCAATGGCCGATCAGTTTGCCTTTTTTGATCGGCCAGATCTTGGGGTTCGTTGTAAACAGAGTTTTCTAGTTTTCTAGTTTGTCCCCCGCAATCTCTCTGTAAGAGACTACACATGTCAACCGATCCTGGTTCGCTCTTTCTTTAACTATCTTTGGGCAATTACATAAAAGCGCTTGGCTCTTAGCCTAATACTGCGATGCCAGTTTGGTATTTTTTTTTTCCCCCCGTTGTTTGTTTCGTTTATATATTTTTGTGCAGACTCTTGGATCTCGGGATCCATGCTTTTTTGCTTTCAGCTTTTAGCTTTTTCCTCGGCTTTTGCCTTGCCTTGGTTTTGCGATGATCATCAAAGGCACGATCAAGCCAATGGCCATGTGTGTGTGTGTGCTGGCCTCTCTTTCTTTAAGCCATTTTTTTTGTTTTGATTTTTTCTTTTTTTTTGTTTTTTTTTTTTTGTCTTTTGAATTTGGCGATAAGATCGCTTTGAACTTTTGTCTTGAGCTTGAGCTATTAGAGCTGATTTTTTGTTTCGGTCTTGTGGCCAACTGATCCTCGGATCGTTTTCGGTTGATCCATGCTGATCCATTTACCATTTACCACATTGTCTTGATTTGGAATTGCTCTGGTTGTTCGCTTTCCTCTCCGCGGCCAAAATGCTTAGCTTTTATTTGGCTTTTACGATCGCTTTTCCGCCTGGCAGCTTGTTTGTTTAATTGACTTGATTGCCAACAGAGCAGTTTGGTTTTCATTTTGAGTGGACCACGACGACCATTTATACTCCTTTTGCTCATGTCAAATGTCATGTAGTCTGGCTCAATTTCGTCTCTGCCAACTCAGAACAATGAGTTTGATTTATATGGCGAAATGTGGGCAAACGGTTAACAGCCACAAAAGCGGAAAAAAATATATGTTTTTCACTTGCGGTTTACGACATGTTAATGAGCAGCATCTCTTAGCCAGGCCACGCCCCCTCAGCGCCCCCCTTTTGGCGGACATTTCGTTTGATGTATGAAACTGTTTTTTTTTTACCGCCTTTTTTTTCACTCGTTTTTTGATGAGTCAGTTAGCCGAACATCAACAAAAATAATGGTAAATAAAAATAAATATTTTGCGCGAATTATGATAGGAGGTTTTTACAAATGCGTTGGTACTACAAGTTTTATTGGCTAATCGTTGGTTTGAATTCCCGATTTGAAACTGGGCTATAACATTTTATAGGTAGAGAAAGCTTCCGCCTAATTGCTTTTAAATATATACATATATCATAAAATATAAACAAGAATTTTTATTGGATAGAAATGGGTTTAAATAAAGTACTTCCTTAACAATACGCTTATTATTGTGTGTTACTAGCAAACTACAATACTATTTGACAACTTTGTTTGTTTAGACTAAAACATAAAATAGATTTTTGTGTTGACAACAAGATATGATTTCCTTTTCCCACTGTTGACTCATGAGGTATTTGACAAAAGTAAAGCTAAACAAAACTGGATCGCTGGAAATAGTCGTGGCATGAGTGTGCGTCTCCACCTGGTTGGAATGCAATTCGATCTTAACTTTTTGTGTGCGTTCTTGCAATGAGTTTCTTTAATTATGCCATGTAGGTTTTTTGGTCGGGCCGGCCCCGCTTCACAGACTCGTAAAAATTGTTGACGACAGTCTGTCAAAATATATGGATATAGCCGATCGTTTCACCGACTCTCCAGACTCTCTACTATTTATAATAACTCAAACAGAGTTATGCGTTGCGTACGTGCCGTTTGTTTTGGGCCGCATTTGATTTATTGCAGAGACAACAAGAGGAATAGACACAACAACAGCAGCAACAAAATAAAGTAAGAAAGAAATAAATAAATTAAAGACAACAAACACACACACACACACACATATACGGAGGAGGAAACAAAATACGAAAATCGAAAAACGAAATACGAGGCGAGTGAAAATCATGCGAACCGGGCTAAAGGCACGAACCAGAGACTCCCAGACTCTCGTTTAGGTTCAAACCGATTTGCCAGGAATGTCGCTCGACAACGAGCCCGATTTGATTCGATCCGCAGTGGAGAGGACTGCCGAGGAGCGAGGATTGCAGGGGGGGAGCTGCAGAAGACTGTAGACTGTAGACTGAAGACTGGAGACCGCAGAATCGGGAGACCGAAGATTGTGCGGGCGCTTTTGTCTGGCCAAAACAACACACACAACCGCCCTCCTTTGTCTAGACGAATTTCGAGTTAAATTAAAAAGAGTACATAAGTATATCCCTTGTCCTTGAAGTAGAGCTCTTGATTGACATATGCAAATGCCCCTCCTTCGCCACAGTCTAATACTCCCTACACTCATGTCTCGAACTTTACTTACGCGCAGTAGGTTTTGCCATTGTTTTGTGTGACGCAGGTGCCGCCATTCTGGCAGCCCAAACTTGTGCAGGAACCGGACACCAACGCGGTATCTGCAAGGATAATTGAAAAAGGTTTATAATTAATATGGGTTTATAAAAGAAATGTCATGTTAAGAGGTGCGTGAATAGCATACAACCCATAAAACATATAGAAAACCGGTGAATTAAACTTATATATCTAATTGTATACTTAGGTTTTTATGTATTTTTCTAAAGTTTAACTTTATTTGAATTCCCGTTTTTAATTATTATCAATATCCTATTCTTGCTGATTTATTATATTGAACAGTTTTATAAATTTAAAGATTCTTAGTTCAAATAATTTAGAGAAGTATAACTTTGTTTTAACAGAAAGCTCTGTTTACTATATCAAATTGTATATGCCTTCCTGATGAGTTTTCATCATATGATCATTATTTAAAAATGTTCAGCTATTACAGACCAAGACATCTTGTATACATTCTTATAGACAACTTCTCAACTGACCCGCCCCCAAAGCTGTCCGCCATATCAGTATGATCATGCTAACTTGTCGCCCATTTATGTCTACTTAACATGCCACATCGTTGCAAAAAAGAGAAAGAGAGAAAGAAATACGGGCGGGGGGAAAGGGAATGGAGTGGAAAACATTCTTGTTCTGTTTGCAGAAGATCGGGAGATCGTATATGTATCTGCCTTTTAAGGGCAAACGGGCGGCATGTCAAAGTCACCGTCTTCATCATCATTATCATCATTGTTGCCAATCACAGACGAAAAGTTCACTGCACTTGAACTGTCCAGCGCTGCAGAAAAGTAGTTGTATAAGAAAACTGAAACTTGTGCAATCAAATCAAATTATTATTAAACATAAAAAAAAATACAGAACAACAAAAAAAAAAGGAGGCACACCAAAATTATGCTTATTCCATTGAAAAATATCTGGCACACGAAATTAAACAAACGAAGCCGCAAACAAGCAATCCCCCCAATTTCACTTCACCTCTCCAGATTTTGCCATCAAAAAAAAAATATGATTTAGTTATGTACAGATGGGTTCAAAATAATAGTAGTAAACTAGTACTAAACCAAATAGCCGATGCTCTAAAACATATTTATAGTATTCGAATACAAATTGTAATCATTTTAATAGAATTTTTTTAATTTTTAATGACAACAAAATAACCAAAATTATGAAATGGATTGAAACATTTAGCGAGAACCCTTTGAAAATTCCTTAGAAATATATTTTTACCTACAGAAAACGAGCTGCTTGCATTTATTTATTTAAAATGCATTCCTCAGCACTTTTCTCACCTTCTCTGCTAACATTTTGCGCCCAACTGTATATATGTTTGCTAATTGGGCGTGTGGCGATTTCCTGCGCTGAAAAAAACCAGAAAAAAAGACGGCAGAGGGGTTCCTAACTCAGCTGAACTCAGAATTCCGTGCGGCTCAGTTCATTTCGGTGCGAGGCGACGACAATAAGTTTTGATTGCCCCCGTCAGGCGGAGATAAATAAATCGCTTTGTCTGCCGAGGGGGGACGGTGGGCGGTAGGCGGAGGGTGGAGGGGCGTGGCAGGGTGCCCACAGACACTATGAGGCACAATGAGCGGCCACTGTACCGCCTTGCATACACAAGCACAAATAAAATGCAAAAAGGTTTAAGTTTAAGCGCCAATTGAATGCACAAATTGAAAATTTCAATTTCCAAGAAAAAGAAACGTAAGTTAAATTAATAATAATATTTGAGCTTGTTATTTGCTGATTTTCAATTACATTTTGATACCGAGTTTATTTTTAATTAATATATTTTTATTTATAAAAAAAACTGTTATTCATGTAACAATACAAAAATTCTCCTTTTTTTAACAAGCTCAAAAGTAATTGAATGTTTTTTATTATTTAAAAATATATTTACTAATTTTCGCTCACTGTCTGTCGACTCCTTTAAACATTGATGATCGATGGCTTGTGGACAAGACGTGGCATAAATCCCAAAGATACACCAGATATATATATTTGTATATATATGTACATATGCCTGATTAACTGGCTAATGACAATACATAAATAAAGCGGTGAAGGAAGCAAAAAATAAAAAGAGATAACTTCAAATTGAGTCACATCCAATGTGTGTACAATATTGCAGAAATTTATGCAAAAGGAAAATATTATTGCAGCATGCTTTCAGATGTTGCTCTGCATTCGATTGTCTTCGTTTGTCCGCGAGTGTGTGCGTTTGTTTGTAAACTAATTGACCTCAATTAGTGTAAAAAAAAGATGCAAAAAAAAAACCACAAATCCAAAAGAGAAACATATATAAATAAAACGCAGTGTCAGTCAGTTGTGGGTGCAGCCTCTTAAATCTGCTGATTTTAAAGCTATGGTTTTATAATTATGTATATAATCGTATAAATATTTTTTAAAAGTTACTCAAAGTATTTAATAGTTCTCTAGGAATTTTTTATTGTCTAGAATTTAATAGTTTATTTGGGTTTTTAAATTTTTTAATAAGAAAACTAAATTATTTCATATGCTGTTAAATGTGTTTACTTTGTTTAAAGACAGAATGAAGAATAAGTGACCGGAGTTCCTACATAAAATGGGCAAATGTCTGAAATTGAATTATACAATTTCCAGGTAAAGATCGCACAAATGGGGACAGGGCTTAAATGGGTTTTTCGAGAGGTGTGGCCGGGCTTATAACTCTGTTTAATTAATTTGCCGGCAAGAGGCGAGAAAGACAGGGATGGCATGAGCACTCAACGCTTCATCGACAGAGCGTGAAAAGATTTTCAGTTTTTCAAGCAGTTTTTTTTTTTTTTTTTTGGTTTTTTATATACCTAAATGGGCATTTTTTTATTGCGTGTGATTTACCGCACATGTAAAATCAACGTGGAGCAAAACTGTGTGGAATTGTTTTGGCCGGCATTTATGCGCCGTTTAAGCAGATGCCTGCACATGCTTTTCAGCTTTTCCGTTTTTCCGCTTTTCCACCACTGCCGACAAATGAGCTGTTAATTGCTTGACTGGGCCCAAACCGAGTTAAGACCTAATTAAACTTGCTCAACGATATGTGTAATAGAGATTGGCAGGGGCAGCGAATCCGGGGGATCTCTCAAAGTCACGACATTTCACAATCAACGATGAAAGCAGGCGTGACTGTGACTTGCAAATATCCGTGATATTGATCGATGAAAATGGCATGGAAACGACAGCAAATGTTGCATGTAATAAAATCGACTTACTTCATTTTTTTTCTTTTTTTTGGTTTAAATCCTATTCAGCTGTAATGTTTGGCTTTTACATTTTTGGATTATCATTAGATCTATGAAATACATTTATAAACTTATTTTAGAAACATGAAACTAAAAAGGTAGGTATAAAAAGCAATTTCCTTATGACACATTTTGTTAAGCAGCCAAAATCCAAATCTCTCCCATAAAGCGATCAATGAACCACTTGTAATTACCCCAAAAAAAGCCATTTACATACATCAAACCAATAAATACCACAAAAAAGGGAAGCCAAGACAATAATGAAATATCTCCGCTGTTTTTTTTTTTGTTTTTATAAATGGCGCTTATCGAATTTAAATTTTCGCATTACCACATACGAAAAAAAAAATACAAAAAGCAAAAACAATGAAAAAGTAGCAAACGCTATCAGCATAATAAGCAACAACACAACAGCTGCGACAACTAAAACAAAAAGCAACCACACCAAACTAAAACAAGAAAAACACCAACAACAACAAAAAAACCAAACCACGGCCAAAAATTTCTCACGCTTTTCTCTAGGAAAAAAAAATATAAAAAAAAAAAAAACATATCAACAAGAATGTCAGCAAGTAGAGATATAAAATAAAATGGTAAAAAATATTAAGGCTTACATGAATTCTAATTATGAAAATAGGGAAAATTGTAGAGTGAAAAGTTGGGCACACGTGCATTAAGAAAAATAAATAATGTATTGATTTGCGAGTGAAATCGAAACTGTGCTGAAAGACCAGAAGCTTTTCGCCCTTATCGCATATCCATGAACAATTCTGCTGGGGCGACTTCCTTATCTAAAACTCGGTTTGTTCTCAGGCTTCTATCATGTTTATTCATGATTTTTATTGGGCGACTATTTCGCCACGATTTTTAAATGGATCACAAGAAATCCGGAAGCTTCAAACAATCAATTAAAAAAATACAAATTCATATCACAGCTATCAGTTTGAAAAATATATAATATTAAAAAGAAAAGATTAAATCAATTAATTGAATTTCAGGAATACAAATTGCACACTTAAAATTACAATTACATTGATTGTAAATAACTTTGCATAAAATGATGAATTTTTCGAAAGTCAAACACTAGTTTTCAGGGGTTCTTTTCTTTATGTAAATCAATTAAATTTAAATGATCGCTCAACAGTATTTCATAAACAATAGATACAATACATTTTATAAGGTAATATTTAATTATATTTTTGGCTCAGCACATAACCGTTTCTTGGAATGAATCTTTTGTTATTTGCCGAAATAAATTCGTTTCAATTGCTTATTGATCGTTTACGAACGCTTAACCCCCGCAATATATCTTTTGTTTCCAATTTGGCATTCTTCTCAAGTATTTCCATTTGTCATTGATCTCTTCTGGCTCATATCTCTGTGCACATTTTATATGCCCGAAGTGTATGGCGAAGATGATAAAAGACATTTTCATAAACAATTTGCGTCGCAAAAAAACTGCAACAACTGATAAGCTGCCAAGCGATCATCGAACGATCATTATTTCCATGGGAATTGTTCATCGAATGATCACAAATTGCTGCGGGGGCCAGCAATAAATAAATACTTTTGCCTATATAAATGTAATGGCAAATAGAAAATTGTTTGGAAAGAAGTACAGCGGCGGAGAAAATAATAATAGTAAAAGAACGTTTGGAAAAGTTTTTGGTATACATATAAAATGATCGATTCTATTGATTTGATTATCGAAATTGCTATTGATTTAGAAATTACTTAAAGAACCATTTAAACGGGTTCGAAATCACTATTACTATTCCTTTAAAAGTATATAT